GTGTTTTTTATATTTATTTATTTTTTTCTTTCTTACTCATTTCAGGATCAGTATGTACAAATTATATACAATTATTGTTCAGCTTTTATATGTCAGTAATATGACACAGACTGTTTGGGGGAAACTTGGACAGTGCAAGTTCCTTGTTTCTCTGCTTGTGTTTTCACAAATACACATACAAATTAACACACACACACACACACACACATATATACATATACATATATATATATATATATATATATATATATATATATATATATATATATATATATATATATGTGTGTGTATGTGTGTATGTGTATGTGTATGTGTATGTGTGTGTGTGTGTGTGTGTGTGTGTGTGTGTGTGTGTGTGTGTGTGTGTGTGTGTGTGTGTGTGTGTGTGTGTGTGTGTGTGTGTGTGTGTGTGTGTGTGTGTGTGTGTGTGTTTATATTGATGCACATACCTACATACAATATGCATTTCATGCTGTTACTATATCTCCACTCCTTAAAACCTATTGATTAGAATACATGGATTTGTAAATAGCTCATGTGCTTAACGTCTTAGAAAACGGGAAGTGGGGTCAAGCGGAAACAGTTTTTTTTTCGTTTATCCAAAAGTCATACATTGCTGAGAGCAAGAGGGGCATCGCGTCACCTCCGGGTCGCGCCAGGTCTGTCCAAATGCTGAAATTTAATTTAGAAACCAATATTCGTGATCATCGTCATTCTTATTGTCCTCCTTTTGGCGTGAGGTGACAAATCAGCCGAAAAAAATAGGGCGACCACTCTAGCTGACCGTGCGTGGTGAGGCGACCCCCCGAAGGCTATATGAAAATACGACTACACGCAAACACGCGGCGAATAACGACCCTCTAGACGCCGCACCTTGAGACTGGCGAAAAAAATACACACACATTATACACGAAAAGCCTATTTTCTGTGTTGTGTATTATCCCCCCCCCCACGACGTTGACAATACGGTATAAATGTAGCGCTTTCTCGCTCATTGTCGCCGTGTAGCGCTTTCCCGCTCGTCTACGGAGGTCTTACTCTGCTCGAGCTGCCGACACGCGCCCGACCCCGAGGGAGGGCGTCGGGTATGATATGCCAAGGGGTAGAAGGGACGCCGCAGGGTCGGGGGGGTGCGGGGGCGAACTCAAGACGAGGCTCTTCCTCCTTTGGAAATATGTAGTTTTCTTTTCTCTCTCTCTCTCTCTCTCTCTCTCTCTCTCTCTCTCTCTCTCTCTCTCTCTCTCTCTCTCTCTCTCTCTCTCTCCCTCCTCCTCGGATCGCGTAGAGAACCAGTGGCTTGACTATAGAGGGTCGCCCGCCGTGGTGGTTGCGGGAGAGAGGTTCGGCCAAAAAGCAACATGTACACAGGGATAACTTCTGAGCAGCGCCACCATTATCAAACTTGGCACAGTTAAGCTGAGGGCTTTCCCACTACTTGTGCTATAGGTCAGCAAGACGGAGCGTGGCCAAAGGGGGAAAAAAAGAAATAAAATAAATGGTAATAGAGGTGTAAGATTTTCTTTTTTTAATGTGATTATTTGAGACGCTCCTTTCTGCTGCCCCTTCCTCCACCCCCTCCCCGTCCCCACCAACTCTTGATATCAAACCATTTTTTTTTTGTTTTGTTATTCCTCTTAAGATCTAAAAGTATTCCCGTTCAAGATTTACACACGTATTTTTTTCTTAAACCTCCCGTCGACACAAGACAACACGCGGCGTAACACCAGTCCCACAATCCACACGTTAACATGAACCACCTGAAGTCCACTTCTTGGCAGGCTCCCTCCTCCGTCAACTACCTGTAGGAGAGAGGGCGTTGGCAAAATCCTATCACCTTTTCTTTCACTTCCCGCTGGTGACGGGTGTGTCAGTAGCTGTCTAAGCTCTCGAGAGCCCTGAGAGAGACTTCAGACTTCGTGACGTGTGGGGTTTTAAGTTGATCAGATACTCATACTCATTAGACCACAGACTGCTTTATTGCTTATTCCTCCAAATGCAGGCCAAATATCCTAAATATTTCCCTATTTTTTAATTTGTGACATTTTTATAATTTTCTAAGTAAATCTAGAGAGAGAACAGGCCTGAGTTCCCCTTGCTTTCCCCGCGTTGTCTGTGTCGAGTCGTTCATTCCTGTCATACTTCATCCACGTATGAAATGATGACTGCGGCATGACGACCGCCCCTGCCATCGCTCAGCCGTCTCTGACCCGCACTATTTACACGGCGCGGCCCGTCTTGGCTCGCCTCGCCAGACGGACCGCATTCGGAAACCTCTCCTGGTGAGCCAGACTACGAGAAGATCCCCTTAATCTCTGTCGATGTCTGTCGTGGCTAAAATATCAGTGGATCGAGTCTTTCGAAAGCAAAAGTAATATACTTTATTTTCGAGTTTACATTTTCCTTTTTCTTCACTGCCAGCCATCACGAGGTCTCACAGTCACCCCCCCAAATCACTCCCTCCCCTCCCCTCCCTCCCTCCTAAACCCCCATTCCCCCTCTTTCTCCCCCGCCTCCCCTCTCGTCCGCGGCCTCTTCCTCCGCGGGCTCCTTAGGACCAGATGAAGTAATCCCTCGGGCAGGCGCCGGCCGACCCGCACCAGGTGGTCTCCTCGAGCACCGGACACGCCTTCCCTCCGCGACGCGCGTGCTTCAGGATGGTTCTTGTCCTCGTCTGCTCGCCGATGCCACAGGTCTTGCTGCAGGGGGACCACGCGGACCACTCGGTCACGCGGCAGTCGCGGGGAGGACCTGGTGGGGGGGGGGAGAGCGAGGGGCTTGGGCATTAAAAGGGCGGTGGACGTCTGGGGCGCGGGAAGTGTTTCAAGGTCTGAGCTGGGAAACTGGGAATGATTGCCGTTTTGATGTTGACTTGAGTTTTTTGTTGTGTTTTTTGGGGGTATTTTAGAATAGCATTGGAAGCATCGAGGTTTTGTAAAAGTGATTTCAACTTGCTGTCTCTTTCTACCATTATATATCATAGGGATGACGATTGTTGAAGGTCTGGTCTTTTAACATTTGAAACAGTTGAAGCATTCATTTATAGACAAAATCAAGCGTAGTGCAATAATATTTATTTACCATTCTTTACCTTCAACCCCCCCCCCTTTCTTTCCCTCTCCTCTACCTTCCTTCCTGTCCCTACTTCTCCCTCTTCTCATTCTCACTTTTATCTACCTTTTGCCTTCTTGTCTTCTATCTTCCTCCCCTTCTCTAACTCTACCTCTCACCCTCTCTTTCGCTCCGCCCCCCCTCTCCCTCCCCCCTCCCCCTCTCTTTCGCTCCGCTCCCCTCTCCCTCCCCCCCTCCCCCTCTCCTTCCCTCCCCCCCTCCCCCTCTCTTTCACTCTGCCCCCCCCCCCTCTCCCTCTCCTTCCCTCCTCCCTTCCCTTACCCCCCCTTTCCCCTCTCTTTCGCTCCGCCCCCCCTCTCCCCCCCCTCCCCTCCACTCTCCCTCCCCCCTCCCCCTCTCTTTCGCTTCGCCCCCCCTCCCCCTCCCCCTCTCTTTCGCTCCTCCAACCCCCCCCCCCCCACTTACGGATCTTCCTGAGCTCCATTCTGCGGCGCCGCCTCTGCTCGCGCCTCTGCTTCCTCATCTTCCTCCGCTGCTCCTTCTGGTAGTTCTTGACGATGTCGTCGATGACCGCCATGGCGTCGCCGGTGGGGATGCGCTTGTGGGTCGGGGAGGCCCTCCCTCGGCCCGCGTGCTTCGTCTGCGCCCTCGTCGCCTTGTCCTGCACGGGGCCTTCCTCTCCCTGCTCCTGCTCCTCCTGCTCCTCCTGCTCCTGCTGCTCCTCGTTGTCCCGGTTCGTCTCGTCCTCCTCGTCCTCCTCGTCTTCCTCGTCCTCACTTTCCACTGAGTTGCTCATGAGGGACACCTGAGAAAGAGGGATCACAGTAAGACCAATAAAGAATAAGAGAAAAGAGAAAAGAGAGAACTAAATAAAATGAATAATTAAATGAGATAAATAAGAAATAATACGGAATACAATAAATAAATCAATAAAGTAAACGAATGCATAATACAAAATAAACTGAATAAATAAACAAAGAAACTAAAGTCATTTAAATAGAAACGTGATGACCCTTTTCCCCTCCTAAATAATAATAATAATAATAACAAAAAAGCAAATACATAAATAAATAAAACATGTGAAAGAGCCTAGCATCACGAAGGGAAGGACTCCATTTTCCCCTTCCTAAATAATAATAATAAAAAATAATAATAATAAATAATAATAATAATAATAATAATAATAATAATAATAAAACACGTAAAATAGCCTAGCATCACGAAGGAAGAAACCCGACGTAAGCGAGAAATAGCCTGGCATCACGAATTAAACGTAAAATAAAGGGTAAAATAATAAATGTAAAATAAAACGTAAAATAATAAACGTAAAATGAAATGTAAAATAAAGCGTAAAACAGCCTAGCCTCACGAAGGAAGGACTCCATTTTCCCCTCATAGATAATAATAATAATAAAAAAAATAATAATAAAATAAAACACGTAAAATAGCCCAGCATCACGAAGGAAGGACTCCATTTTCCCCTCATAAATAATAAAAAAAAATAATACTAATAAAAAGCGCCTCACCCTTCTGTTGGCCGCCAAGTCCCTCGTCTTGGCGGGCGGGAGGGCGTTGACGAAAGAGTTGCGGGAGACTTCCTCCTCCGTCGCCGTGTCGTAGGGCGGCCTCCAGGGCGCGACCGAGGGGCGTGGTCCGACTACCGGCCGATGGTGGGAGCGGTGGCGGTGGTGGGCGCGGAGGGGCGCGGCGGGAGAGGGCGCGGGGGTGGTAGTTGTGGTGGTGGTCGAAGTCGTAGTCACTGCTGGTGTGAACGTCCGGACGGAGGTGACGTAAGAGACGTGGTTCTGCGAAAACAAATATTTGTAAAAATAATAATAACAATAATAATAATAAAAATGATAATAATAACAATAATAATAATAATAATAATAGCAATAATATATTCATAAGTAATATAAAACAATATAAAA